CGGCGTAACCCCAGGCATGTGTCGCCACATTCTCGGGTCATGAAGAATAAAGAAGGGAAAAGTTAATCTTCCGAAATGAAGCAGCAATATCTTCTCAGGTAAAAGTTATTAGAACCGTGTCTAGGGACAAGCTGGCCATCACTCTGTTCTGACCTTATCAGCCCGTTTGTATCCTATTATTTGATTCGCTCTTGTCGCTTATGACAGAACAGCTAATCATGATGATCTTGTTTTCGGAAAAGATTATTTAATTCGCTTATGTCAGAAACGGCAAATCTATTTTAAAACTGGCTGTTGTTTTTACTTCATTGCATTGTTATAATTCGTAAAAGTTGTACCCGCCAACTGGCACTGTTACATATACTCGCCAACGCTGATTTTTACTCGCATTTGGCGCTTGGCGAGTGTTAATTTTAGGCCCTGTGCATATCCAATCGTTTGTGCGGAGAGTGGAAGCTAAAGCGCACTTTACAGGGCATGGAGGCGCCAGCGCGATCACTTGCATTTTTTCTTAATAAAAGTGAAAACAACTTAAAATACGCCGTCATTTTTGCTCATAAAGAAAAGAGTAATACATAATTCTGCACTGTAAAGGGTCTACTTTTATTTGTGTGCACTCACAATAAAACATTGTGCTTTAAAATAAAGAAAACAAACTGGATGTGCTTTCTGCCGTCTCGGTCTTGAACAGGAGGCGCTTCACAATGATGAACCGAAACTCAGCGAATAGCTTATTTGCCTCACAGACATGATACATATATCTATAGAAAGCTTTCAATTACAACTTTAAAACAAAATAATTCAAAGTCTTCAATAAAACTCTTCAAATAATTAAAAACAAACTCTTTCATTATGTAATCCGTAAAGATGCATTTCTCCCTAAAAAAATTCTAAAATAAAGAAAAATGGGATGGAGAGTAAAGTTTCCATTATATTTAAGAAGAGGTCATGGTAACATTTGTTTCTTTTAACGGCACAAATCAAGCACAAATGAACAGGAAACCAGTTTGGAGAGATTTGAACGGCAGGGGGTGGAGAGTGACATCACTGCCCCGAATTCTGTTTGTTATTTCTAAGAAGGGGAAATATATTTGATGTTCATTTCAACGGCACAAATCAGCACTAATCAAGCACAAACTAATGACACCGGTTTTGTGCGATTTAGACAAACTGGGGTGGAGAGTGACGTCACAGCTCGCCGAAAACATTGTGGTTATATCTAAGGAAGGAAAATAGATTCAGCGTTTGTTTTAACGGCACAAACCCAGCACAAACGAACTTTGGAGCGATTTGGGCATCATGGGGTGGAGAGTGACGTCACACGGTCAAAAAAATTATGTTTAATATCTCAAACACCAAACCAGCACAAACATTCGTTTTTTGTGGCACAAATCAGCACAAACGAATGGCATAGTTTTGGTGATTATTTATTTGTATTGGGCGCCAACTTCACGGAGGTACCTTCCAGATGTCATCAGATGAGTACACTACCAGTACATTCTCTCACTAAGATGAATCAGAAAATGTAGTGTAAAGTTCTTTATTTCATTCAGCTTGCCATTTTATTTGTATGACCATTATTTACATTATCATTCAGTTATACAGTGTGGCATTTCACAGCATTACCGAAGTTCAACTACTATTTTGATTCCAAGTTATCAATATATGAAATTAAATTATGCCTCTATTCAATTAAAGTCCCCAGTCCAGACAATATTATATATATATATATATATATATATATTTGTTCTATATTCCTTTCTATTCAATTCATTTATTTATTTATAAAAAAAATGTTGCTTACAAAATTTCTAAGTTGATTTGGATAAAAGGGTCTGCTAAATGACTAGATGTAAATATAAATGCTTATTACTTGAAACTACAGCAAAGTAGATGGCCAGATGTAGCCTCAAGATAATGTAGATAGAGGTGAAGAATGAAAATAAGAGAAGTGGGTATGAAGGTGTACAATCAGATGTGGCCCACACTCAGCAGCAGTGAACGTTCACTCAGATTTACAGGTGAAGGAATTCTCTCCAGTGTGAACTCTCATGTGGTAACTAAAGTTGTGTTGATGAGTAAAACTCTTTCCACACTGAGTGCAAGTGTAAGGCTTCTCTCCAGTGTGAACTCTCATGTGAATTTTGAGGCTACATTTATGACAAAAACTCTTTCCACATAGATGACATATAAAACGGTTTTCTCCTGAGTGAGTCCTTATGTGGCGATTAAGGCTTACTTTATGTATGAAACTCCTTCCACATTGACCACATATGAACAGTTTCTCTCCCGTGTGACTTCTCATGTGGTCATTATGAGTATGTTTATGAGCAAAACTCTTTCCACACTGAGTGCAAGTGTAAGGCTTCTCTCCAGAGTGAATCCTCATGTGGATTGCCAGGTTTTGTTTTTGAGGGAAATTCTTTCCACACTGTTGGCAGGTGAAGGAGCTCTCTCTACTGTGAATTCTCATGTGGAAATTAAAGTTGCCTTTATGTGCAAAACTCTTTTCACACTGAGAGCAAGTATAAGGCTTTTCTCCGGTGTGAACTCTCATGTGGACTGTAAGGCTTCCTTTTTGAGCAAAACTCTTTCCACACAGTTGACAGATGAAATGTCTCTCTCCAGTGTGAACTTTCATGTGGAGCGTAAGGTTTTGTTTTCGATTGAAACTCTTTCCACAATGACGGCATATTAAAAAACTGTTAGATTCCAACTTTTCTCCAATTTTTAAATCATGATCTTTCTCATTCTGCTCTTTCTCTTCCAAATCCTTCAGCTCTTGACTCTTCTCAATCAGGTCTAGAAGAAAATACAAAAGCAGTTAAATGCTGGTTTCACACTGCATGCGCAAGCAGAGCGTAAGCAGCGCTTATTTTTTTCGGCGCCCATGTTAACAGATTAGAGTATTCGCATATACACCGCACAGTGCATTGTTCTTGATCAAAATTGACCCGATTAACATGAAAAATACATTTCACCATAAAATCATGCAAGTGATGTGTTTCGTGTTTCACAATCACCCTATGAAAGGGCTGCGTTTCCCAAAAGCATTGTAAGCCTAAGTACATCGTAGACCCATTGCCACTAATCAACTTATCACCCTACGATCCGACAGAACAAAGAAAGAAAAATGCTGGCGAACTATAGCAGAAGCGCTTCAGCAATGTTTACACTCTTGTTTTCGGAAGTCAGTCGCTACGACGAAACGCGATGAATGGTCGGGAAGCAACGTGTAGTCTTGACATAATTCTTGTCCACGACACGACAAGATTTTAGGAGTCAAAATAGTGTAATCTGACACAGTGACTATCGTGACCGACAAAAATATTGTGTAGTCTGAACCCGGCCTTAGGCTTACGATGCTTTTGGGAAACGCAGCCCAGGTTAGTTTTCCAGCATAAGTTGCCACAGTGAATGAGCTTGATAAATGTTCAATTTGCTTTATGGAACCAAATCATTTGACAATGAGTCCAATTAACTGAAATAAGCCTGGTTTACTAGTTTTGGTAAACTAGTTTTGTGAAACCGGCCTCTGGTCGTCAACTTCAATCTCTCTTAAAGGGTTAGTTCACCCAAAAATGAAAATTCTGTCATTAATTATTCACCCTCATGTCGTTTCAAACCCGTAAGACTTTCGTTCATCTTCGGAACACAAATTAAGATATTTTTGATGGAATCTGAGAGCTGTCTGACCCTCCTATAGACAGCAATGCCACTGAAATGTTCCCAAGTCCAGAGACGTAGCAAGGACAGTGTTTCCCCTGCCATTATTTTAGGGGGGAACGGCACCCCCCGCCCCCTTGAAGGTCAAGTTAATTTTATTTAATTATATTTTCTCTATAGTGATTAAAATAGGTAAAAATTTAATTTAACCATTAAAAAAACGACTTTATTCAACAATTCGTCTCCTCCGCATCACCCTGTAAACAGCATATGCTGTTCTGTGTCAGCTGCGTCACGCCGGATCCGTTTCCTACGTTGTTGTGATTTGATCTGAACGGAAACAGCGTATCCGTGTGACGCAGCTGACACAGAACACAGAAGTCTTTCGGATGAGACGTTAAACCGAGGTCCTGACTCTCTGTGACTGGTGGTGGATGAGGAGTGACCCCCCAACATGATTGTAAAGCGCTTTGGGTGTACAGCAATACACAATAAAGCGCTATATAAATGCCTTATTCATTCATTCATTCTGGAGGTGAAGCTGAATCACGAATGATTCGCACGAACATAGACGCATTTAAAGGGGTCATATGATGCTTTTTTAAAGATCATTATTTTGTGTATTTGGTGTAACAGAATATGTTGACATGCTTTAATGTTCAAAAAACACATTATTTTTCAAATACTGTACATTATTGTAGGTCCTCTATGCCCCGCCTCTCTCAAACGCTTCGTTTTCTACAAAGCCCCCTTTTATAAAGAATATCTCTTTGGGTTTGAGACTTTAATCTTTGCGACTTTACGGCTCTTCTGAATGCACGAACAGCTTTTAACACTCCAAAGACAAGGGAAAACATGAAATCGCATCATATGACCCCTTTTAGCAGATCAGGGGGGTGCATTCCCTTCAAAAACAAACATAATCCACTGCGTCTTCAGCGGCTCAGATGTCAGGAGTGACGACTGCTGTGTTCATTATTACATCCAACAACAAACACCTCAATCAACTTCAACTCCAACCTCAACCACTTAGGAGCCACTCTTGTCTACGTTCCTGCTCCGGCGTTGAAACAATCACGGTCGGACTGTTCACAGCTCACTCAGGGAGGGACTAAGGTAAAACGTCCGTGTCAATCAAATATCGTGGGAGTGGCCTGTGCAGAACTACGTAAATCTGGCAAGAATCTGAGAATGGCCTGATCTGATCTGAGAAAGGGTTCATTATTTATAGGGATTAAAAAAAACACTGGGTGGATTTTTGTCATTAAGGAGGGGATGTGTACACACACTGCCAACACACATTTATGATCAAACACCATGTAAAAGTGAATTTTGTATTCCATGACCCCTTTAAATGAAGAACAAATGTAGACAACATGCAGTAACTCAACAGGTGAAATGTTTTAATTAATTAGTTAGCAGGTTGTGCTATTTACATGCTGATTTGTCCGCAGTGAAGTTCAGCCGATATCTTTTTTTATTTGGACTAGTTAAATTCATTTTGGGCTACCAAAATCTGAAGAACACCCGCCCCGAAGGGCTCCCAGGTGAAAAAAGTGCACTTCCGTAATGTACTTAAAGTGCTCTATTTTCACACTAATTTTGTACTTAATATACTAAAAATTATTCTTTAGTACAAAGGGCTGTGCGATATTGAAGAAAAATGTGCCACATGCTCAGATGAAACCCAGCTGTTACTGAGTCAGTTCTCTGAACTTCCATAACTATCTAGTGTCATATATATATGGTTATTTATATGACTCTATGTATGTATCAAGAGCTCCTGTAAAACCACAACAAATTCCTTGTGTTCATTCTGTTCTGTTCCTTGTGTTCAAGCTCATTCTGATTCTAATATAACTAGCATACGTTTCACTTTTTTTGAAGAAAGCACCCCTACAACAACTTCTGAAAGTGAACAGTAGTGTTTAACTCTAGCATTACATAAAAATGTAATTTTAACTTTAGTGTAATCATTTTAACACCAGTTTAGGAACTGAATAATAAAAAGGAAAAATAAAACACTGCTTAGTCTTCACTCTATGAACTCACTGATTCTTATTTAAGCTACAAAAGTTAAGCAAGAGCAGTGAAGTGATTTTCTCTTTGTCTTTTGTTCACGGCCCCAAATATTGCAAGCTGTAGCGATATGCATATTGCGATATTTCGATATATTGCACAGCCCTAGTACTTCTTAAGATAAACTTAAAATCATCAAAAGTGTACTCGGCTGTGCTATTTTGGGACACCATGAATATGAACTACAATGTGCTTTTAACATACTTCCTCTGTATTCAAAAAATGCATTTAGTTACCACTTGTAGTACACTTGAGTCTACTAGTGTATGAAAGATGGGTTCAAGTGTACTACAAGTGCTAACTAAATACATTTTGTGAAAAAGTGACAAGGAGTGACAGAGTACAATGCGCCAAAACAGAGTGGAATGAAACCAAAGATTTCAGACGAACACAAACCAGGTCTGGTTTGATCAGCAGACCACCACAGTTTCTAGACCTATAAATGAGGATGGGATAAGGAGATAATGATGTAAATGGCAAGGGAAAGAAATTGTTGGTATGACTGAACGTGGCAGGGCTGTAATGTTTGTGGGAGAGTTGCTTAATATTCACTAAAAGGTTCAAACCAACCTGTTTGTTCCTCAGTATCTTCTTGTTTCAGACTGAACACTTCTTCAATCCTGAAGTCTTCACTCTCCTCTTTAATAAACGCCATCTTTATAATAGTGTGTCACGTGGATCTCAGCTGCTTCAGCAGGAGTTTTTTCCCCGTGTGGTTCGATACTGTCATGATTAAAATGAGAAAAAAATAAACAAAGAAAAACAGATCCAAACTAAATGTCCGGGTGCGTCTCAATCAGCTCCCTTGTCGATTTACAGTTTTGAGCAGCAGGTGTCGTAAGCATGAGTTTATCTGAGTGCTTTAATTAACGTCAGATAAATCACTAGTCTTACGTTAAACAATAATTAAGCCATTTCACATCGTTAGCGTTGACTTAAACTTTGAAAGGAATAAACAAACCTTTCTTCAGCCGAAACACAGACGCTGGAGCGCGGCGCAGCCTTATGACGTCACGCCACCACACCAAAATAAAAGTCCTGTTCAGACGCCAATGTTGAATGTCAGAAGTGCTGGAATATTTTTACACACAACAAAAGTAAAACATTCAAACAATAAAACATGTATTCGGAGTTTTATTCTTTTTTAAATACGTGTTTAAAGACACGTTGTCTAGTCTTGTGCAGCACATCTAATAGTATTTAATTTATGATTCCGTCTAAAAGGCAAAACAGTAATCTATATAAGCTTTGTCAATAAAACTAAAACTTTGTTAGGGCCACAGATTATTCAAAAATAAACAACTGCAACAATAAATAGGTAATGAGTTAGTTAAAAATTTGACTTTATAAGTGAATCACACACACAGAGATTGTTGTTTCCACTTATTACTTAAATTCAGTTATTAATACTTATCTTAAAGTGTTTCTAATAATACATTGCACTTTTTAAATATGACAGTACTTTTGATAATATTAAATATTAAATATCTACATATGAGTACTTATAAACTATTTTTGTAATGTTTTCTTTTTTCAACAAATTACTTTTTTGCTGCACAGTTGGTTTATGTTTTCTCCTGAGCATGTGTACCGATTCATCACGATGACTGCTAAAACTTGTATCACAGTATGCTGTACTGAATTGCATTGAAAGATTGAACTATTGTTGCTTTTTATATAGTTTTGGTTACTTTTTAAAAAACTTTTATAAAATACAATTAAAAGAAAACATCTTGAACAGTTAAGAAACTAAATGAACAATTAAATTGTTTCACAAATAAATTATGATTTATAGACAGCTAAATATCCTAAATATATTTATAATAGAGCATTTATTGATTAAAACACAGGGGTGGATGGTAACAAAGTATTTTACTTCACTACTGCACTTGAGCATATTTTTTAAATATCTGTTTTTTATTTTGCAAAACATTTACCTTTACATTTCATAAAACATCATTCCTCATTATTTTGAACTGAAGAAATCACCACTGCTCTGAAATGCAAGAGCAATGTCTTAGGCTGGCCGCATACTAGGACATTTTAAAGGGGTCATATGATGCTTTTTTAAAGATCATTATTTTGTGTATTTGGTGTAACAGAATATGTTGACATGCTTTAATGTTCAAAAAACACATTATTATTGGAAAAAAAAAAGTAACTTGCGTTACTTATTTGAAAAAGTAACTCAGATATTCTCTTGTAAATTAAAAAGTAATGCGTTACTTTACTAGTTACTTGAAAAAAGTAATCTGATTACGTATCTCGCGTTACTTGTAATGCGTTCCCCCCAACACTGCTCGCGATAGCCAATGAGAGCGAGCAAGCGTCACCTACCGGATGTTGTGTGCTTCTATAGCTAAAACTTGGCAGCCACAAACATGCCACGAGTACTGAGAAAGAACATCACCCTCATTCTTTTTTAAAAGTTGTTTTTCACTGTGAAACAGAACGTGCACCAGGAGAGCCAGCTTCGATTGTTCTCCTTCTCTAGTCACGTTTGATCTTGCGAGTCACTGTGAAATCGTCCTTACAATCATCAAGTGTGTGGTCTCGCGGTCTGCTGGAATCGTCTAGTGTGTGCGTTCAGAGCGTAAGGCTAAGATCGGTTGAAACTGTCTTCATGTCTGTGGTCTCCCATGGTTTTAAAATAGGTAAAGATTTGAAAATCGTCTAGTGTGTGGCCAGCCTTAGTCGTGAACGAGCCGATTCTTCTCAATGAACCTGTTGAATAGATTAACAAATCGCAATGAACAATTCGTTCACTATTCTTGGGTCGACAACTCCTCATGAAAAACTGGGAGGGGAGATAGGTTTCCTTCTCTGAAATACCTGGAAATATGCTCTTTATGCATCTCCTTTGAACTTTGTGGTTTACCTCAACACTAACGTCTCATACTATGGCCTCCAGGTGAGCTCATCTGCTAAATATCAAAGTTTACTGAACATTTTTTGAACTGTTGTAACAAAAAGTATTAATGTCAGAAACAAAAAAAAAACAATCATGATTTTCATTTAAGAACATGAATCACTGGAATGAAACAAACATTACTTGACATTACAGAACGAACATGATTTTCACTATACAACGTGATTTGCACTAAATAACGAACATGATGTGCTCTATAGAACAAACATTTATACTAAAGAAATAATGTGACTGTAACAAAGGTTCCCACAAATGTTAAGTGTGTTGTATTTGAGCAAAAATGTAAGTGTCTAAAGCATAAGCACAGTTCCATTGAATGATGAATGTGTTTTAACAATGTCGTTGAACCAAATGTACGAAGGAAACTGTTAAAATAACCACAGCATTAACAACAACCTTGAAATAAGAGTGCGAGGTTTATCTGATGATGATATCAGATGCATGAAAGTAGCGTTCGTTGCTATAGCAAACAGACATCAGGTGCGTTTTCTTTCAGAATCATCATTCGCCGATGGGGAGGAAAAGTTTAATACTATAGCATTTTATTTTATGAAAATGAGATAAAGAAGTTTTCGCACTGAAAGAGAAGTGATCTCATAGAACTTAACCCTCTAAGCACCAAAGTCGCAAAATTGTGACAAGACGTCATACTTAAAGGGGTCATATGATGCGATTTCAAGTTTTCCTTTCTCTTTGGAGTGTTACAAAATACTTTTAAAGCTCTTTTTTAAAATCTTGGCTTACATACATTTCTACATATGCCATGCCATAGCATCATTAAACTAGCATCTAATAATGGACAAAAGTTTTTTTTTTTTTCTGTAACCTATGGTTCTCTAACCATAAAGGCTGCTGTGTATTCTGAATTTGCAAAAATCGTTCTTGAATTGAATCGAAAACCTATGAATCGTGAATAGAATCGATTCGCTGTCTACCCAAAGATTCACAGCCCTACAGAGCAACCATCAAGTGTTAGACAGTGTTCTAGGTTATTACATGAGGAGTTTTTAGGTCCGATAATTAACACCTCTGTTTTTTCAGAATTTAGAAGTAAGAAATTACTCATCATCCAGTTTTTTATATCGACTATGCATTCCGCTAAGGGGGGAAACGCGCCAGGTTCCGAAACAACGGGCCAGGTGTGAAAGCCATATTAGACTCGGATGATCAATTTTAAAACATTTGAAAAGCAAGACACGTAAAGATTGCTTTCAGATTATGATGTTAATACTGTACTATCTCCAACCAGGAGAGGTCGCTAGTTTCCAGCCGCTCCCCTATTAATTTCAGCATAGTAGGACATGCACTCTAATGTAAACATTCATTAACATTAGCAAATAATAAATGAAAAACTGACCATGAAAACAGTATTTTCAAGTCAAGATGGTAAACAGATTATCTTTTTACCAAGTTCAAGGGGATACCCATATGTTTGGATTGTTTGGAAATCTGCATTTTATTTAAATCGCCATCACACCACTGCTCACAAACCACGGGGACGCCAGAGTTGCTATTGCCTCAAATTTCAAAGGTAAAATTCATAGTCAACAAAAGCTTTTTGCCAAATGCATGACAGAAATGTTTACACTGGACTATGTTCTTATTAGGGTTTCCGCGGGTCCTTAAAACGTCTTCAGTTAAATTGTTTACATTTAAGGCCATGCAAATTACACTGGCTAACAGTAGCCGCTCGCATCAAATTCAAGGTACTGATGCTTGCCTACAAGACAACCAATGGCGCTGCACCAATATACCTAAACTCACTAGTTCAAACTTATGCACCCTCCTTAAGCTTGCGTTCTGCAAGTGAACGGCGCCTTGTGGTGCCATCCCAAAGAGGCTCAAAATCACTATCACGGACCTTTTCCTGGACTGTGCTGGTGGAATGACCTCCCGATCTCAATTCGAAGTGTCTTTAGCCACGTGCTGTTGGGAAATGTCAACACCTGTTGATGCTTTATTTTTTGTTAATTTAGCCACTGTATTGAATAAATTGATAGGTCAGTGATAGAGGAACTCTGGTTAAGCGTCAACTCAGGCTTAGCCTGGCAGTTAGCCTGCTCCAGACCAGGTTAGCTTCCCAGCATAAGTTTCCACAGTGACTGAGCTTGAGCTATGGTAATTTTGCTTTATGAAACCAAATCAAGTGAAAATAAGTCAGACTAACTGAAATAAGCCTGGCTTATTTGGTAAACTAGTTTTATGAAACCCCCCCCCCCAGGGTTGACTGCTGTGTTGAAAAAAACTTCTACACATGTTGACTAATACAGCTCACATGAAAAAATAATAATAATCTGTAATATGTATAGTTGCTAGGAAGTTCCTAGGATGTTGTTCATTTGCTAGGTGTGCAGTTGCTAGGGTACTCTGGGTGGTTGCTAGGGTACTCAGGGTGCTTGCTAGGTTGGTTTGGCTAGTTGCTAGAGTGTTTCTATGAAGACAGATAGATAGATAAATATAGATAGATAGATAGATAAGATAGTTTAGAAATATTAGATAGATGCGTTTGAATTAGTTTAAATGGATTAGAAATAGTGCATAGAAGGGAAGATAGATAGATAGATAGAGACAGATTATAGAGATAGATAGATAGATAGAAACGGTCAGATTATAGAGACAGATAGATAGATAGTTTAGAAATATTAGAGAGTTTGAGTTTAAATGGATTAGAAATAGTACACAGAAGGGAACCTTCAAACTTCAAACTAGTCAACTTCAAACTTTTATCCAACCTGTAGCTATGTATGTGATAGATTGCATGACCTTCAAATATTCAGCTTCAAGCTGTACAAAC